TGATGAAGCCTCGCTCATGAAGAGTCCTCCTTTACATTCAGGAATCAGATGAATAAAGCATTAGGACCTTTTCTTTCTTACTTCAAAACAAGTTGTGTACATTTAATTTGTCAGGGCAGGTTAGTTTGAATGACCTGTTTTCTTCCTTTGTTGTATGTTCTGTTTGCTTAAGGGGAAAATCCTTCTTGCATTATTATGAATCAGTGGTGTGTGCTGCATGCTGTGGTGCTCTAACTTCCTCATCTGCAGACTTAATATTTTAAATATAATCATACGTATTAAACACAGTATATTTAAAAACAAGATTAAAAATCCCACTAAAGTGACCTTTAGTCCCACTGAAGTGACCTTTAGTCCGACTAAAGTGACCTTTAGTGGGATTTGGGCTGCCTGTAGCTTAGGTGGTTGAGCAGGTCATACTGACCGGAACGTTGGTGGTTGGATTCCTGGCTTTCCCCCTAGTTTACATGCCAAATATCCTTGGGTAAGATACTAACCCCATGTTGCTCTCCAATGCATCCACCTGAGTGTGAATGTTAGATAGGCACTAACAGCTCAGAAAAAGTGCTGGTGTGATTGGGTGAATAAATTAGAAGTGCTTTGAGTGCTCAGATAGAGTAGAAAGGCGCTATATAAGAACCAGTCCATGTACCACTTTACTGTGCTCTCCGTAACAATTTCAAGTGTACTCAGGGGTCTTTCACCTGAAGTTGACTGCTGTGCCACAGTTCAGCTAAGATAAAAAAAAAGCCTGTTGTTGATGTTTATGGAGGATAAATGAGGATTTAATTTATTCCCTGTGAAGGCTGGCAGTCACTTCAGTTTCCTACGACAGAGATACGTGGCAGCATCTGTGTATAGCAGATAGTTAAGGGCAAACTTTTGCCATTTTACCCGCTGCTCTGAAATGGCGAAAAGGCGAAATCTGAGAGCAAAGTACAAACAAAGTTGTTGTGTTTGTCTTGGCTACAGTCAGAGTAACCAGTGTGCTAGCCACTAATGATTTCCTCCCTACAAAGCTGTGGACTAGTGTACTGAGGAGCTTGAGTCATGCCATGCTTAGCAACATCAGGTATGAAATAGGTATGAGGCCCAAAATATAGAAATGACAGATTGGTTATAAATAACGAACTGTCACTTTATTTTAGACTGCACAAAAGAGTCACTGTCTGTAAATCTATAACTTTATGTATTCTAAAAGAAAATCCTTAAAAACAAACAATTATAATGTATTCCTAATTGAAGCTGTGTTTGTGGGAGGGCCTAACAAAGGTCCCTCCCTGGAGAAGATCAGTACTTAAAAATATTTTTATTTTAAAGACACGAAAAATAAACATACTTTTATCTCATCTGTTATTTTTGTGAAGATGTGTTCATAAAAAATATTTTAATATAATAAAGTAATCTAAAAATGTACTGCATGATTGAGCTACAATGCAGAATGGGATTTCATCACACAGAAAGTGTCACAGGGGCTGGTATGTGGCTTGGACAATGGGCTGGAATGGGCGGGTATAATTTGGGAAACAAACTACGCTGCAGATGGTGTTGGACGGGGGCAGGACAAAGTCAGTTTGTACTTTGCTTTTTCTGGGCGGGAGGCGTAAGGTTTGGAGTGGGCCAGAGGGCTGCTGAGTGCTATTCTTGGTGCAAACGATGGTGGAAAAGGCAGGCACATAATCCCTTACATCCCCACCAAAAGTAGCTCTTAATAAATGAGATGGTCCAATTTACTCCAGGTTGGCAGGTGAATCTGGCAGTGCGAGCCCAGTGAATGAGGGCAGAGTGGACAACAGTGGGGATGTTGTGCCAGTTTGTAGAGTCAGATCGTGTGTCGTTTTAGGGAGCAGACAAAGGAAAGCAAAACAGAATTCCTAACAAA